ATACGAACTACTGATACTCCTGGGTTCAAACTATTTACTATTAACAAATTCCTAGCTGCAGTTTGAAGTGCGGATTACTAAAAAACAAAAGACATGGATCTTAAGGTCTCCACAGTTTGCTTTATATCACTAAATTTCTATATTTAAATGCCTTAACTGCTTTCAAAGGTCGTTAAAAAGTTCGTTGCATTGCTCATTAAAATTTGAACATGTTTTAACGTTCCGGATGAGATGCAACACCAATTTTAACACACTACCGCTGACCACTCATCAGTCTTCTGCGGGTATTCGAAGGTACAGTCAAACCTGTATTAGGCGGACACCCTCGGGACCCGTGCTAGTGTCCGCTTAATACAGGGTGTCCGTTGAAAACAGGTTCCCTCAGAATTCGTCTTAAAAAGGGTCAAATAGCATTCTCGTGAACGGTCGATAACTCTAAAATACCATATTTCCATAAACAATGACAAGTATATGAGGTGAGGCGATTTAAGCATACAGTAACAGTATCTGTATTGATCGAATCATGTGAAGGTTCACAAAATCAAACAAGAACGAGAAAAGTTCGGTAAAAACAAAACTGAATAATAAAATATCGCATTTCTGTGACAGCTTAGTTTAAGGGCAAACTTAAATGACTGATCTATTAAAACGTGGACACTGAAAAAAAAATCATGCATTCTCTTTGTAATGTACGTTTGATACAGGTTTCTGAGAATAGAATTAATCATAAAGGCCAAGTTTAAGGTGTCCGGGTCCGCTCAGTAGTTGTCAGTTGAATACTGGTATTTTTTACAGTAAATGCGGGAAAGAAAAAAATTAGACTTCCACCCCTGTCCGCTAAATAAGCCGCCATTTACAAGAAGTTTAACAATTTGCTGAGATCGTAACTGACCTAGACGTCTGTTAGCAGCCTTTAAAATCCTCCTCTTAATCAAGTATTCTCATCAAGAACTAGTTTAAGCTCAGTTGTCTTGATCTGTTGTGCACCCGGCATTATTCCACAGATTGCGTTACATTTGACAAGTGCACATTCCAACGGGTAGGGGCAGGGTGGGCAGGAAGTGAAAATGTAACCGACATTAAAGTCATTTTACGCATTTCTGTGACTAAACTAGTCCGCTTAATATGGGGTCCGCTTAATACTGGTTTGGCTGTACCACTAAATATTGAAAACAACTGAAATCAAGGAATTACCTGGTCGTCTTCAGAGCCACCTGGTTTTACATATCCTGTGATACTACACTCTCATTTTGGTCGGCGACAGCAGTCATATTTCGTGCA